CCGAAAAATATCTCACACACTAATAATAGATATTGAAGAAGAAAATGCTGCAATAACCAAATTAGAATCAGCAGCCTATTTTTAATATTTTTTCAGATTATCTTTCGGAATACAGATAGGAAAAAAACTTTTTTCTATGCAGCAAATCTCACATCAATATCAATCACAATGTCGAAAAGATGTAGAAAGAAAGTCTTTTTGTTGTTTTGAGAAACCTCTTTATTTTTCTATAAGAAGCTTCAAATCATCATTTGGATAAAACTCAGTATTTTAGCGAAAGACCTTCATATTGTGGTTCCATATCCTTTAAGAAGCCAATAAGGATACTCATTGGATTCCTAGTGCCTCCTTAAGGGAATAATTAGGTCATGAAAAAAACATGTAATCATGGAGTTTCAGGATCCTAGTAGGATTCAATCAGGATCCTGATAGAATTACCACTAATGTTATATAAGAAACCATTCAGGAAACCGTAATTCTTAAAAGAAATATGTAACCATCAAATATTCCAGATTTTAACTAGATTGGTACGAATTGCAAGTCTTTCGTGTACGTTTCAGTGTGGATGTGAGTTTATGTTAATCGTATCCTAACTCGCATCCCGACCCACATTTTAGCGTTGTATGTTTCTTAAAATCTTCTTCTAATTTAGCGATAATTCTTGACAGAATTTCTGTGTCCGAATCCAAAATAGATCCTGACCAGAACTTCACAAAATCCTGTCTGCTATTCCTGTCAGAATCATAGATAGAATCGAGTCTGATGCCTGACAGAATCCTGAATTCTAAGTGTACAAAAAAAACTTGGACAGGATCTTGAGGAAATCCTGAGCAGAATCCTGTTTAACCCTGAAAACTCTTGAAAACAGAATTTATTAGAATTCGACATAGGATCCTGAACAAAACTTGGCAGGATTCTTAACACTCAGGATCCTAACAGATCCTTCCAAGATTTCTCAAGGAATGAGCAGGATTGAGACTAGGGTTTGAGCTCCCTGACATTTGAGCTTCTCATATGGAACTTGAGGTTATGGGTATTGGCGTGGGTGCATAGATGTGTAATGTGGGTATTTGTGTGGTTGTCGCTCTCAGTTTTTTCACACCTACAGCCACAGTCATAGCCCACCCACAGTCACAGTCATAAGCACAATGTTTTACGTTGATAATCTATTGAAGCTCAAATGTTGGGTGCTCAACTATCGGTGTACCGTTAGTTTCATGTGAAAAATTGATCTGCTTCTCCGCATATACAATATTAGAAACTTCAAAATTATTTATTTTGACAAGATTTGATATACTGGTTCAACCATTTTGGGGTGCCTTGAAGGAACAGACGAGTTTCTTCTTTGTTTCTACATATCATCTCTTTCTCATCATTTGTTTCGACTTCAAAATTCTTTCGCACACAAAATTGTGAAACAGTAAAGGGTATACAGGATTTGGGTGATGATATCGTTCAAGACGCTCGTATTTGAAGAAATACTAGTGTATTGATTGTATTTGTGAAGCTTATTTTGATATTTTGCTTCTGTTTTAGTTCCTCTACTGAACAGCTATCTGTTTGAGAATTTATATCATAAAATGCCACAAATGCAACAAATATTGAACATTGGTCTTGCCTGGTTCCTACTAATAAATTGTCTATGTGCGACACCAACTTTTCTTACCGGTTTAATCATTGGCGGAATGTACATGCATGATTGCCCGACGGAACCTCGACTACCTGTCTGGTCAGTGGTTTTAGGCACAGTTGGATTAGGCACTTACTTGATGATAATTGGCCTCGTAAGCCAGCTTCATTGAAAATCTTTTTTATATTCTACTCTCTTCATTGTTTTGCAATCTTCAGCTTCTAGTTGTTATTCAAAGAAGACATAATGAAAGCAACAGTTACATACAGTTGCTATTCAGCGCCTTGGTTATAACAATAATCTCAATGCTCTTTATCCTCATTTGGGGTATTATTGTGCGTATGAATATTCGTAATAAGATGCTAAAACATAAATCTATATTCTTTTCAGGGCATCTTTTGGTCTTTCGACCTGAGTAAATATGTTATAATCAATTGTAATCAACATGCATTAAATTTTGGTCGTGGAATTCCATGGTTCTGTATAGGTCACTCGATGAGCATAGTAATTTATTTTATTTTCGTCTGTTGCATATGCAGAAAACATGGCAAAAACTGATCGATGAGTGAAAGAAACTTTTGTTCGTGCACTCTCTCGAAGATTACATATAAATAAATCCAACTTTTTAACTATATATCTGAAATAAGTGGCCAAAGATCTGTTAAGCGTAGATACACGATGACACTGTGCGCATGATGAAATCGAAATTTCAATTTGTGACAATATACCAATAGTTGCTTGGGTCACATTAACTAAAATGGTATATTTGTGATTCATAGAACAAATGAATCTTAAAAATGATATTTCAGACACTAAAGAACTGTTTTTAACAGCAATTTCAGAATTTCTACTAAGCAGAATTCATAATTCTGTGGATTTTGTGGATTTTTTTTTAAACGCGTCCATTACCATACACTAGAATTCTGTTGTTACCTTCTTATTTCTCCACAGAATTCTATGTTTCACAAGACCAGCTTTCAGCGACATAGCGATCAAAGGATAGTACCTTTCTTTTCTGGTCTGTTTATATTCTGTCTAGAATTCTGTGTTATCAAAGACAATGTATTCTGTTTTGATATACTTGAATTCGGAGTAGAATTCTGCAGAATGCTATGTTATCAAAGATAACGTATATTTGCTAGTACTCACTGGATCAGAGATGGAACCGGTACCGGTAGCCGGCCGGTCCAGTTCGGAACCGGTCTGGGTTTTGGATCGACCGGTCTGTCGATCTATATTTTTCACTTTCCTGCTCCATGATGGTATTCATGTAAAAAAGAACAAGTGGCGCCAAGATTAATTCCACTGATCACACAGAAAGAACGGGGACTTATAAGAGCCATTTTTGGGCCATACGTTAATTTTGGTCGGTGTATTGTTTACTAGATGCAGAATTTTGCATGGAAGCGTTCGGTAACAAAATAAAACTATTTTTCAAGAGTTTTGACGGACTTTTGCCTCAAATATTGTTGTTCACTTTTGTACCAGAAATACATGATTCACACACGAAAGAATCAGACATGTCTGTTTTTCTCAAATAAGATGTTTCGAAGCGAAAATTATATCAAACGACTACCAATCTAATATTCTGTTTCTGACAAAAATTTCAGCTGGAACGATCGAAGTCTTGCTGAGTAATAATGTAAAACTTATCCGGAGTCAGCATAAAAATCATATAGTTCTCTTATCGCTTATATGCACTTCTGTTCATTGTTTTCTCAATATCTCGAGAAAGGAAAAAAAACAATATGGGTGTGGGTTTCGAAGAAGTAAGCAATCACACCCACACCCTTCGGTCAAGTATTATAAAAAAAATAGTTATTTTCTGAAAATACTCTTTTCTTAGTGAGAAAAACCGTGTTCGCTGATGAAAAATGGATATACAAGAGTATTTTCTTCATGTAAATCACTTTATCACTTAATATTAATGAGTTAAGTATCAAACAGAAAAACTCAACACTTAGTATTAAGTAATAAGTGACTACCTTGAACTTGTTTTTAAATAAATGTAAATGACCCATCTATAATTTTAAGATTTTAAAAGATTTCGAAAGATTTTGAGAGATTTGGAATGTCAAAATCTACTTTTCCTCTTGCTGTAGATATATTACCGATAGTAATATTCATGCCCATTTTCAATTGAAATATAAGTGAAGTTTCTAGCTGATGTTTTTCTTCACGATCTAGCGCTAGATCATTTATATGTACTATGCTCAAACTCGTTTTCCAAGTTTTCTTAGTTTAATTAGCCATTGATCTACCGTTTTGTTATTTGAAAATCCAGCATAAATGACGCATATTTTATACACTCCAGAATATTTTTTGTAGTCGAATGAGTAGGCTACTTCATTTTTCGAGAAGAAAAAGAAAAATTCGGATTGTGTTTGTTACATCGGGCGAAAGTAAATCTTGATTTTTTCCCAATAGATGAAAGAAATACAACGATTGACTCGATCTTATTTATAATGTACTTGAATCTTGAAGAAAAACTATTCATAACAATATTTTCATAGGGTATGCATTTGTAATAATTGTATCCAAAAGAGAGCGAAAGGTAGAGATTTGAGGGCCAAGATGTAGGTGTATAGGAGTTACCAAGACGCGTTTCAACTGTTGAGGACGAGAGTGAGGGTGAGTTTACAAAAGTTAGATTCAAAGCATCATACGACGCCTTTCGAATACTCACTATCTCAAAGGGAAGTAGTGGCACTTATACGTTGGGAAGTGTCGATGCTACATGAGGTATCTGGTTTTGCTAAGGAGACGGGATAGTTTTTATATTTTTCAGTCTTTTCAATGGATGAGGTATGGTTTTTCTGTTTTATTCGTCGAATAAAATACAAAAGGTTCCAAGAGAAAGAGAAAAAAATGAACTGAGAAGTAGAGATGATGTATCTAGCGTTGAAAAGAATTCGGTTGCATTCGTTGTTGGTTAGGTGGTTTCAATTTTAGTCGAAATTTCTCGTGGTGGTTTCTTTCGTATAAACAATTGTTCTAGGGTAGAATTCGTTTGAGCTACCAATTGAACTTTGACTTTATGAACTGGTAGTATTGCATCAGTATAATATTGTTTCCACCAACTATAGAACGCTTTAAGGTGAGGGCGTGGATGGGTGAGTTCAAAGCAAAATTTAACAAAAATCCAATTTTTTGAAGAATTTCAAGGTAGCTACCATGACGCGTTTTGATCCGGCTAAGGATCTCTTTAGATGGCTTGAAAATCTGCATTATTAAAAAATCTAAGTTGAAAGATTTTTCACCTTCAACATTAGAAGATCTAATATAAAGCAGAAACTAATATGTTTTACAATTCTGATATATTTCATTCACGATAGTCAACTTCATCTGCCGATATTTAATTTATTTCAAATTATTTAAATAGAAAATTAATTAAAAAAGTCAAAACAACAATAGAAAAAGTGAAAGAATAATGTTTATTTTGTAGAGCTGAAGATGTTTGTATTGTATCACAATGATCTCCTATCCATTGACAATGTTTCATTTTTGAACATTCTTGTTCAGTTAAATAAGCATGACAATCATCACTATCGAAATATTTTAATACAACTGAACATTTTTCAATCATTTGTTTACCATAACCAAATTGAGTTTTTATTCCATGATCACCAATATCAAAAATAAATATGGTTTGATTTATTTTATAAGATGGCCATGGTTGTTTAGATAAATGAAATGATGTAAAATACTTAATAAGTTTTAATGATAGATTTGTTTCAACTGGTGTTAATTGAGTGGCAGCAAATTGATTATGAAATACATAAGGAATTTCAGTCAAATGTGTAGCATTGAAATGTAATGGTGTAAATATCCAATTTTCAGATGGATGAATAAATAAATAGACATAAATTGATGATGATGAAATAGTAGCAAGATAATTGAAAAGATAAAAACTAGGACAATAACAATAATAATTAGCAATTAACCAACTAAAAGCATTAAAATAATCTTTATCAGTTGTTGTTGGATCATATTTAGCAATTAATTCAGAAGGTATTTGATATTGTTCAGTTAAATCATGATATCTTGTTTCAGAAATAGACATATTAAATTGATTGAATATATATGTAACACTTTGACCTTCATGGGCATTAAAACCACCAAGAACATTTGCTTTTTTATTAAATAAACTTTTTCGAATTAATGTTATTGGTTGCTCTCGTAATTATGATTGTTCACCAATACAAGGCCACAATTTTATCCAATTAATTGTGAGTTCTTGATAAAGTCTCGAAGCATCTATCTTTTGAAAACAAGTTAAATTTGATTGACATTCTGGAAAAGCTATATCAATTAATTTTAAATTAACTCTTTCATTTTCTTTACAATCAGAAAAATGAAAAGGTCCAGCTGATTCTAATACAATCGATGAATACAATGGCCAACTAGATTCCATAAGTAAATGAGCAAGAACAGAACTACCACCAGCTGATTCGCCAAATATCATAACATTTGTTTTATCACCACCAAATGATGGAATATTTTTTTGTACCCATTGTAATGCTAATTGTTGATCCATCAATCCAAGATTACGTGTATTTAAATTTGGTAAAGGAAAAAAACCAAACAATCCCAGACGATAGTTAATTGTGACAATAATTGATTGAGAAAAACGAGCAAGATTTTCACTATCATAATCATTACTAAAACCAGCTGTATAACCACCACCATGTAACCATACACGTACTGGTAATAATGAATTATTTCCGTTTGGTACCCAGATATTTAGAAAGAGACAATCTTCACTTTCTACTAATGGTAGAGGTAGTTTAAATGGACCAGATTGGTGACAAATCGGTCCGAATTCAGTTGCATTAAGTGTATCAGTCCATGATTTAGGTAATGTTGCTGATGACCAACGTGTTGAAAATTGTCCATAAGGAATACCCTTATAAATATCGACATTATTCGATGTAAAACCAAGAATATCTCCACTTGGAGTTTTTGTTATTACTGATTGAACAGAAAGGATTGTTGTAGTTAAAACAAGTAAATCAAACAGCGTCATTTCGTTTATTGTGACATGTAAAATGTGTTCGGCTTTCCTTTTTTTTATTAATATTGACATAGTATATCAATGATAACTATTTTACTCTTATAAATGTAAATTCAAAATGAACTTATGTTGTTAAATAATGAAGGTCACACGTTATATTAAAAATATAAAAAAATAAAAAGATTTTCAAAACATATCATTCAAAAAACTTTCTACAATATTAGAGTTAGAACAAAAAAATAGGAGTCATTCTGAGTGACTTTTGTTGTTATTACATACTCTCCATGCAAGCAAAACGTTTTTACGTTAGTATAAAGGACAAAAGAAAAGAAAGTAAAGACAACAGCATGATAGCATCGTTCTTAAACTATAAGAGTATAGAAGTTCAGTGATTATATGTAATTCAATGTATATCGCGACAGTTTGCATCTATAAAAAAATTGATATAAAACAGAAATGGACACAAGGTAACTTTTTCTACTCTGTCCTACCATGAAAAGGAGAACAAAACAGGATACTTCCACCTTCGTACCCTTTCTTATTATTTTTTGGCTGTGTTCAAGAAATAGCAACGTTTTTATATTCATACAAAGAACATTATTCTTATTTATATTCATTTCATATGACGATTACACAGTCCCATTTACAAAGAAAATATTAGCAACATCAAAGCAAGAAAGAGTAGTCAACGTAAATATGCACATAAAAATATATAAGATTGGCAACAGGGATAGGAAAATCATTTCAGAGACAAGATGTATAATAAGTTGGAACGTCATTATCTTAAGACAGAATTACTGAGCCAAAAACGAAGATCTACACTGCATCTAGTGACTTCTTGAATGCAGAAATTCAAACCACAAGTTATAATACGTCATAAGAATTCTTGCGAAATAATATTAATCAACAAACAATCGAGTTCAACATTCTCATCCTCGAATCTATTTTCAAAACACGATTAATTCAAATATTCAAAATATTCTAACGAAATGAGCATGTATTCTCCTTTAATTTTTTCTATATTTAATGCTTCTTCGCTTATACGTTGTACCTATTTGATACATATAATGTGATATAGGTGTCTAGCCTTCTTTATTTGAATTTCGACTAGAGCTCTGTGGGACAAACTTTTCTGTGTTCCGAATCCCACTTGTTCCGTTCCGAATTTTTTCGAATTGTTCTGTAAAGTCCTGAAAGTTTTGTTGACCGAAAGGAATATAAAAATATCGTTTTGTCGAAGAAGAACACGACTTTCTTATACCACCAATAGACAACATGTATTCATGTAGATGATTATTAGAAGAACTAGCTATCTATTATTTTGTTTAAGTGGCATCACAATACCCATTGATGAACACGTCTGGGTACAGAAGAAATCAATAATTTACTATTTTTGTCAAATGGAATATTGGAATATTAATGAAAGTTTACTTGTTTATAGCCGAAGTGTAAGAAAAAGAGGTTAATTTGTGGTATAACTGCAGTTTAAGTACACTCTCATCCCCACGAACATACTGATTAATCCACAGAATACGCTAATTAAGCGAGACCGTATGTCTAAATTATAGTAACAGTGAAATAACTGATGAAAAGAAATGATAACGAACAGCTTTGAAGGTATCTGGCAATAGATTTTTCTTCATTGCTCTGTTATGCTATTTATTTAAATATTAAAATATTTGTCAGAAATAATAAATCTCAACCTTACGACGCATTCTGACATATGAATTTAGGAAATTGGAGACATCAGCTTTTCTGTATAGTCCCGAATCCCGTTTGTCCCCTTCCGAAAAATTTTCGGGACAATCCCGATTGTCTGGCGGGATGGGACAAACAGGATTTTTCGGGATTCGGAACTGTCCCGTAGGGCTCTAATTTCAATTGTTAAAGTCTTGAATAGAGTATGGATGTGGGTGTGAGTTTGGATGTGGCAGTGAAGAAACGGCTAACACATACAGAAAGCTACGCCCACACCCACATCTACATCCACTCTAAATATTGATTCAGATGTAATCAGCGGTGAAAGTAGTGTTTAGACCATAACTCCACCTTATCTCAATCGATAGGGCTGGGGTTGATGCTTCGCATCACATTTTTTTAGCTGTATCTCGAGTAAAAATTTCATGGAAAATGGTCAAAACTGTACGGGGTTTCACACATCCTGGGACTTATGGTCAGCAGTGTATTTGTCAAAGTCTAATTCAATATTCTAGGTAGCATTTGTTCAGTCAAGGAGTTCGACAGAAATATTAGAAGCCAAAATTTCCGACTTAAAACGCAAGAGAAAAAACACGCTTCACGATCATCACTATTAAAATCAGGTTTTTTTTTTCTTACGTGAGAAATCTTTCTTGAGAAAAGGAACAAAGCTCAGATCGGGCAGCCCGTTTCGAGGTCTGGTGTATAAATACCTTATGATAGTTACAGAATAAAGTGAGAGGAGTCAAATTGATTGGTAGAACTAATTTTTCATCCTATTTGAAACTTTGGTTCAAAAGAAGTGTGGATCAATATTCTATTAATATACTGGTGTGGATAAAAATATTAGCATAAAACCAAGTACTTTTCTGATTTTTATTTTTAGATGACTTCATCTACCAAAATTTTCAATGCATCGATAGTTTTTTATTTGAATGAAAAGATCAAGTCAATACACAGTTAAAAAAGCGTGACGAAAAAAGAAAATTAACAAACATTCCTGAATTAAATATTCTACTATTGGTAATAATCAATGTTACCACCATAAATAAACATTGTCCGAGACATGTTCTGATACTTTCATGAAACAATTACCAAATAGTTTGTATGATTTAATAAGTTCGTTCAATATTAGAATTTGATCTTCAGATACATGTTGGAGACACAATGAGAATAAGTGGCGAATACAGTGACTATCTTTCGATAATAAAAATTGTAAAGTTCGTACGAAATCATCCTTTTTTATATTGATTGTAAGATGTTGTAATTGAGGACAAAGATTAACAAGTAACTTTGTCACTTCGAATGTGCATTCTGTTAAAATTACCAGATTAGAAATTTTATTTCTCTTTGATACTAATTGAAAATTTTTATTATATTGTTGAATAAATATAAAACTTGATTCGCAAAGAGATGTACAATAAAAGTATTAATGTACGAATATTAGATGCGAAATATAATAGTTCAATGATCGTTGGAAGGCGATAATGATAAATATCAAAAACTAATTTAGTAAGTTGTTTTAAAGGAAGAATAGAATTAAGCATGGGCAAGAGATAAATTTTATTTTCATTAATAGACTTACAGATGAAAGTAAGTTCAGTAGCATTTGGAAAATAATTATTACAATCATTTATCGCCTTTATATTTTCGATACGAACAAAATGGACTGTATTCAAATTAATTTTTTGATCATCTAAGCAATATTTGTCGCCATTCTCTCCATATATTGTATAATATTTTCTCCTTAAAAGTAGAAATAACAAAGATATATTGTAATAGATAAATAAAGTTATTTGAACCTATACGGATTGGTAGAAAAGAAAGTCATACAATTACAGCTATCAATTGATGTCGAACGCATATGACGAGCAAAGAACCATCGTCGTTCAATCCAAAATGGCGAATTAAAACGATCAAGTAGATGTTGGAAATTCGATTGGTTAAATGCAGAAATTATACAATGAAAATCAAAAATACGTAATTGTAACATATAAGATGAAATTAATCGTTCCCATCGATTTGCATTTAAAAATTCATTGTCGAAATTTCTTGAAAACTACAAGCTTTGAATTTGTGGAAAATGATTTTTAATCAATAATTCAAGTTCATCAAAAGTCATATTTGTTTTATTTATAGAAATATGTGTCAAATAGTTAAACACAATTGAATGTGATTTTGTTTGTTCAATGAAAGTTCCATATAGATCACGCAATGAAAGACGACGAAGTTGTGGAATATATGATAAAAGAGAAATAAGCTCATGCAAATAACAACCATTATTTATAACAAGATGCTCAATAGAACTATATTTATTAATTGCAATGGATAATGGTTCAGATTCAACAAATTTTGTCATTGTTATTTTGCAATATTTCAATACGGGTAGACGAAATATTCGACGATAAAGTTGTTTTTTATTTTCAACGCAATCGATAACAATGATAATCAATGAAGAGAGACATGATAAAGATGCTAAATATTTTAGAAGTTTTTCAACATATTCGGATTGAATATTATTTATGTGAAGAGCTTGAAGACGTGTCAATTTTGATACAATTCGAATTGGTGAAAAAATCACATCGATAGTAAATAGATTTGATAAACGAAGTGAATTTATTCGATGTTTATTAAGCATAATAAGATGTTTGTATTGATGTTCAAAAGTCGATCTGGACGTTAATGAGAGATTAATTTTGATGGGAAGATTTGAATCAGTAAGGAGATTTTGAAAACGTATATTAAGATTAAAGAAAGCTGTGTACATATGATAAACATCAAGAAATTCGAATATGTCATAGATAATTTCATTTGGAATATCTTGAAAATGAGTGCAAGATTTTCTTGATGATCTGAAAGATAAAAATTAGATTTAGAAGAGGGAAAATAAAGAATTTTTTCTTTCCACTAACCTATTTGGATCGTCTTTTAGCTTCTTTTGTTTATCATCGGGGTACATGTGCAGAATGAGCACACTATTGTTATTTTTATACATAAAGAAAGAATGAAAAAAAAATTATTGGCGATCGAGCACACCATCTTAATGAAAAAGAGCGAGTATTCAAAATAGATGTCGATATGAATGTGGAGAAGGTATATAAATATGATTTCATTGCAAAGAGACTAAGGATTTTCGAAAAACACGATGTTCAGTTATTAATTAATATGAAGGTCGTATCACTGAACAGAATTGTTTCATCTAAAGCAATAATAAAGAACTTGAAAATATACATCGTTGATGCAAAAAAGATATTTTGTAAGAATTCAAAAACGAGGAATGTAGGTGTAGGTACAGCTCAAGACTTCACCCACACTCGCACCCTCTTTTGTGGTTTCCCGTATGATGAATGCTCGGAAACAAATATGTAGTTCCGTCAGGTATTAACAATACAACGTTAGCAAGAAAAAAGACGAAAAAGTATATCCGTTTGTCCGATAGTTCTTGATTAGATAGAACTATACAAGATTTAATCCTACACAAAAGATGGCAGCATTGATTCCTAGACTCAACATCAAGTGCATTTTGAAAAGAACATAGCAAGGCTATGTTTTTTCATCAGTGCAGAAAACAATATCTACCGATGTCGTCAAAATCGCCTCATATGTAGGGATTCATTGCGATTTTTCTGGGGGGGATTGGCGCAATGGTAATATGTTGGATTCTCGAGAATAAGCATCGTGTTCGAGCCTTCCCTCCCACAGCACCATGTTTATATAACTCTGTTCTATTCTACACGTCGCAAGCTACTCGTTCGTCGATGGTCTATGCATTCCACTCGCATACCAAAATGGTTCGACTCGGCAAGCCATCGCTCATAACTCACGTTATCTATGCCCACCGTTTTATATGCTTCATGTTTTGTGCTTTGCTTTAATTGCTTTTCATTCTTTATAAGCAACTTGTTTTCAAAATCATTTGTCCCTTTAGGCCCTATCATGGGTAGAGGGTTAAATAAATATCGCATGAAAAGAATTGCGATTTTTCTAAAAACTAACGATTAATCGCGATTGATTGTCGTTTTTATAAAAACTAATGATGAATCGTGATTGATCGTCGATTTTTTCGTAGTGTAAAACGGTGGGATGTGGGTGTTGGGTTTGGCTATGACTGTGAAACTAAAACGATACCCACACCCACACCCAATTTGTATGCGACACATTCTGTGCACGACACATTTTTCTGCTGGAGTGCACGACACAATAATTCACGACACATAAACACGGCGCATTTTAATTTAGTGTGTAGAGTAAAATGATGGTAAGAAGAGAAATATACAAAACAAACAGATGCACGAAACAGCAACAAACTACATTTACTCAAGAGAGTGAAGCTTTTTTCGTTAACACACTTTCATCCAGTTTCACTCTTATAGACGCCTACAATCTATTGTTGTTTTCACTGGTGAGTCCAACATCAGCTAACTTATAAATCGAATTTTTTTTATCAAAAATTTACAATATTTATAAATGTGTTCTGCATTTATCAATCCAGTAGATTTATATATTCATTTGCTGATTTTGAAAAATATAGAAATGATTAATAATACATTCTGTCCATTTATGAATCCTGTAGATGTCTAACTTAATTTCATCGCTGAGTTCTAATTATACAGAGAGTGAATGGGTGGCCAACATGAGGGTGAGAGTAACTGTTAGGAGATAGCACTTTTTCCTTACTCTACCAAATCAAATAAAGTTATTCTATTTTCCTTTACTCGGTAAAGTTTATACACTTTATCTAAAAAGTAAAATAAAGGAACATGAAAAAATTTTTGTTTATTTTTTTTTGTTCACTTCTTAATTCAACTTCATGCGTCGATGCTACCGAAACATATCGCTGTTTTCCAAATTTACTTCGCTGTAAAATAAGTAGAAAATCAAGTCAAGAAATGTTTAAAAATGTCGATTTTTATTAATAAAGGAAAAATGCTGACTTTCTGGTCTGATCTGATGTTATTTCCAATATTTAAACTAGAATATCTGATATCAATTCACTTTACCTTACTTTTTCAAAGTAAAAACAAAGATAGAGTGCCAATCCTAACGACTGTCTTCTCTTCACCCTTATTCACCCAGGTCTTTTATAACTCGATAGAAATAACTGGAAAGTAAAGCATATGTTTCGATGCTGAACATGAAATCAAAACAGAACAAAGATGACCAACGAAAAATGAATTGAGCAGTGAAAATGATCGAAAGCAGCTGGACTAAAAGCAGCTGCCAATAATTTGTCATCATCGGGTGCAGCAACTTAAACATGAAGATCAACCTTAAACGTACCTTTGTGTTCTAGTTTTCATTTCTCTTTGCTTTTTACCGGGGTAAAAGAAATGGTGTCTTAATTTCAGATGACTACTAATAGAAACGATTTGACCATTGAAGAATGGAGTAAAATGAGCAAATTTATACGAGTTTTGCTTGAGGATCATGAAAAAAGACTTATTGCAATCGAAGGTCAAACAGAAGAAGGTGAAGGTGATGAGAAAACGACAAAAGCAGGTGTACTAATATTGGAAAAGACACCGTTTGTATTCGACCAAGTAGTTGCCTTAATGAAAAGCGATGAAGATCAATTTAGAGTCGATTCGATCAATGATATATATCGCAAGTTTACGGTTTCGGCTCGATCAACTTGTAACGGTATGTTTTCGTTGACTATATTCTCTAGTATCTGAGACCATCGTTTTCTTCAGATGTTAGTTTGACCCTCATTTATCCTGCGACACCAATGCATATAGCAAAATATTCAAAAATAGAGCTTCGTCTTGTTGCTGAAACTCGTCATCGATACGAGACTATCGTTCTACCATACATTGAAAAAAAGCAATTCGATCTTCAATGGATTTACAATATTCTCGATGGTAAATCTGAATGCGAACGTGTCTTATTCGATGCCGATGATTTTATGCTTCTACCCGGCTTCAGATGGGATGGTAAAGTGAACGATTCTATGCATATATTGGGAATTGTCAAAACACGTAATATTCGCAGCGTACGTGATCTCAAACTCGAACATTTGTCTTTGCTTCAACATATACTCGACAAGTCTACAGTAAGAAAAGTGTATATTAATATAAGAAGAAAAACTATAGTGTGGTTGTTACTATAGAATTTCATCTCATCGAAATATGGCGTATCATCGAAAAATATCCGCGCATTTTTTCATTATCCGCCCACGTACTATCATTTACATATTCATTTTACTCCTTTAGAAAATCGAACGTGTGGCGCTGAAGTCGAACGAGCTCATCTCGTGCAAGATGTAATCGATCATATTCAACTACAATTGACTATTATCAAACGAAAACACTCTATTACAAAATAGCAATCACCGATTCACTCTATCAACTTTTCGAAGACGATGAAGAATGATGATCATGATGTTCAACTTGAAAACTACGCTAGAAACAATTAACGTTTAACGTTACAACCTGCTTGTCCCTTGACTGAATCCAATGTGATCCTTCTCTATCATTGCTTGCTGAATTCTGCTTTGAGAACTGTTACGGGCTTTGCCCTCACATATACCATCATCGTTTCTTTCCCCTTGTTTTTTTCTCTTCTTTCTTTTCTCATCTTTTTTTTTGTCTTCATGTTTGCATTGATTCCACCTCTACATTTTCTTTCTATTTCATCGAGTCGTCCGACATTATTATCATATATATATATATATCGGCTTGTTCAAGCGTAACGCGATGACGTTTTGTCCGCTGTGTCTCCAAATTTTCTCAGCAACAAAATCACTTAGAAATTTGATTTTTTCGTCAGAAGATGTGTCTCCTTATGTACTCTTGGAATCCGGTAAATCTGAGTTTATTTAGCAAAGCATTCTGAAAATCATAGCAAAAATATACAGCGTAACGCGAAGATGGACAAGGGACAAAAGTTTGAGGGTGTTGTACTCGTTCTTTGTTTTTCTCCAAACGTATACTATTTTGAACAAAATATTTCACAATAGATTTATAGTAAACACTTTGAAGTATTAATGTGAAAAACGTTTTGGGTGTGGTTGTGGGGTGTGAGTGTGGATGGGTAAGGGTGTGTGCGTGTGTGTGTGGGTGTGTGGGTATGGATGTGGGTGGGTGTGGGTGTGGGTATGGGTGTGGGTGTGGGTGTGGGTATCGATGTGGGGTGTGGGATGTGGGTGTGGTGGGTGATTGAAGAGAAGACCCACACCCCACACCCACCCACACCCACACAAGAAATAATATTTTTTTAATGTTTATGATCAAATGATAACTATAAGAAAAATAAAAACTTACAACAAGCACGCCAAGAATAATCATAAGAAATTTGCGAGTTTGTTGAATTATCGGATCTCCAATCATCGACAAATCTTTAGCAACATGCCTATTAGAAGGAGTGGTTGTAATTACATTGTTGGTATTTTGTTTGGATTGCATTTCAATTGTACGAACTTGTGCCTATTATATAGAATTATAAGATAAATTGAGTATCAATGCAGTCACAAATTCTAAATTAACTCGTTAATAATACTTTGTATTTGTCTGTCTTTTAAATCATTGTCAACAATCAAATATGTCTAATATTTAGCTTTTTTAAGATAGATTTTTTTTCTTCTTAAATGTTAGTCTCATAATGACAATTTATAGGAAAACAGTGTTTCACAATTTCTATGTAAGAATGATAAAACTTGTAAAGTTGAATCTTTTTTCGGGGGTAAATGGTTTTCATATGAAGAACATTTGAAAGTCTTTTAAATATAATCAGTTGTTTGCATTAGTAAGAAAAAAAATCACAAACATTGTAACACATTACTATCCATAGAAAAGTACTGATGAATTTATTCATCAATAAATGAACATCTCAAACAATCACAAGTTGAATTTTGCACCTATACTAAATAATTCAATCGAAATAATATCTGGACAATGAAAAACTATCTATGGATGAAACCGATTCATAATTTGAGTTATTCAGCTGACATTGCTTAAGACA